GGATCCTTTCAGCGCCAAAGGCAGCTGAGGAGTCCCTGTCCCCCAAGCCGAGGCCTTTCTCTCCGAGTAGCCAAGCTTGCGGTAGATGGGGCCGGCGTAGTCCGGCTTGAGGCGGGCTGTCCACCACCTGCACGGTGTTGCAGCGCCACGCCATCTTGACCTCCACCACCGACTCTTGACCCAGCGAGTTGGAGAGCAAGTTGTAGATCTCCGGGAAGTGCCGGAAGGCCTTCAAAGGAAGGGTGATCCTTTCGTCACATACGGCTCTCAATCGCATGTGCTGCTTGGAGTCATGGATGTCAGCAACAGGGAGGTCCAAGACCACCTGCGGCGTACGGTTGATGAAGACCTTGGCAGCGAAAAATGAACCGATCTCGCGGTAGAGCTGCTTCCACTCCTGGTTTGTCGTGGGCACCGGGAGGTCGTGCAGAATCACAAACTCTTTGGCCTCCTTCATCAAGTCCCGGTGGTCGTCTCGTCGCTGCAGGTTCTGCTGCTTGTTCTTGGCCCCTCTCTTGTGGGACCTGACGGTGATCGGCAGGTGGCTCCACACCGCGTAGAGGTGCCTGGCCGAGTAGGTGTGGCCGAAGCAGGAGAAGAGGCTAACCAAGTCCCACGTCTGCACCTCCTTTCTCCAGTGGGTGTTCCCGTCCCCCTCAGCATGGAACGGGCCGATGATCTTATCCAGGGGGGGCCTAGTGCCCATTGCAACCTGTGCCTCAATCTCCTCCATGGTGAGGGCAATCGGCTCGAAGAACGGCTGCCTGAAGGAGCAGGGGTGTGTCCTCATCTCCAGCATGATCTTCTCCCCTTCGGGCAGGGGCTTTGCCCACGTAGGGGGCTCAAGGGGCCCCGGGTGCTGCTTCCATCTGCCCCCGATCATGCGCTGCTCCCCCATGTGCAGCTCGATGATACGTTTGAGGCGAAGCATCTGGAATTCGACCGAGCCCACTGGGACACCCAAGCATGCCTCCGGGGACTGCTCCTCAGGGCCAAAGGCGCCTGTGGAAGACAGCCCCTCGCCGGAGTCCCGGGCGACGCGCTCGCCCTCACGCTGCAGAGCGGCCAAAGTGGGAAGCTCTTGCAGAAGAGAGGCAGGGAACGGATTCCTGCTCTGGTTTTTCAGGAACTTCGTGTTCAAGTACCTTTCCTTAAGGGCCTCGATGTCGTCAAGCTCCATATCCTTGAGCGGGCACTCCGGGTTGAACACGTTCATCTCCAGGGCCGCGCGCAGCTGGGTGCCCCAGGTATCAATGGAGTCCGCCACCGGCCGGAGGAGCTGGGAGCGCTGGGATCCCTCATCCTGCATGCGCTTGTTCGAGGCCTTGGCCTCTTCCAGGCTAGTCTGCGCAGCGAAAAACTCGTCACCCTGATTCCCAGGGCCCTGCAGGTAATTTCGCTTAAGAAGGGAACGAAGCTTCTCTGTATCCAGCTGCCGGAGGATTGACGCACCCTTTGCCTCCTCGACACTCTGTGCGCCCGCCTGCATCTCCACGATCACATCCAGCTGGGGGTTGATGTGATCCAAGAACTCCTCCTCCGTGGGCTTCTTGGGCTGCTTGTCCACCGGGCCCGAGCTCTTCTTGGTGATGTCCATCGCCGCCGCCAGCTGGGGATGGAAAGCCCTCGTCTCCTGGCTTGGTTGCCAGTCACCCCGGAGGTGGGGTCTGTCCCCTGCCTCCTTGTCGGCAAACTGCACCTCGTCGAAGGGCTGTGTTGCCACCGTGTGAGCCAAGCTAAGCCTCAGGGCCATAGGCACCTGGTCGGCGAAGCTCAGCTCCTTCTGATCCGTGGGCCTGGGTGGCGGCTGGGCCCAAGAGCCAATGTCCACGGAGGCGGCTTCCTTCTGGGCCTCGTCTGCATCCGTGTGCCATGTGACACCCTGGGGGCCACAGAACATTCGCCAGGAGGACTGGCCTAGCTTGATCTCTGCCGAGGGCGGGCCCTTGTCCACGGCGATGACAAACTTCTGGCAGAGCTTGCACTTCCCCTCCACCTTGTTGTCCCCAGTCCGAGAAGCAGTTCGGGCACATGAGGGTAGCCCCCGTGCTGCCCGGGTCAAGTTGGCCCATGCTGCTGTGCCCCACTCCTCTGCGAGCACGGTTGTAGGGGGCGGCCAGCATCTTCTCCTGTGCCAGCTGTCGTTTGTAGATTTGGTACACCTCAAGGACTCGTTCCACAGCCGGGCGGCTCCACTGCTCCGCCTTGAGCTCGGAGAACAAGGAGGCGATCTCCTCCTTTGTCAATTGCTGGGCCCAGTCTGCACTCTTCTTGCCGATGCCGGGGAAGTTTTCCGGGAAGCCCTCAATTCTGAAGACCTTCTCCTCCAGGGTGCCGGCGGGCAGGGCCGAGTAGGGTCGGGGCTTGTTGGCATCGTCCTTGGCCACCGTGTCGCCGCCCTCAGGGACAAAGTCACCTGTGGTTGGCACCTCGGCCCTGTCCATGGGGTCATCCGTAGCAGCACCCTCAGGGACAAAGTCACCTGTGGTTGGCACCGCCGGCTTGTCCATGGGGTCATCAGTAGCAGCACCCTCAGGGACAAAGTCACCTGTGGTGGGCACCTCCGATCCCGTGGTGTCCATGTCCTTGGACAAGGGGCTGTCTTCCTTGACCGCCACCATCTCGCTGCCCTTGGCCAACAGCCGTTTCATGGCAGCTTCCATTTCCTGGAGTCGCAAGTCCATGCTGGTGTCATCCACCTCCAAAGTCGTGAAGGAGGCCAATGCCGAATTGGCCGACTCATCCTCGTGGGCATGGACATTGTGGGCCAAGGTAGCACGAGCCAAAGCGACTTCATCGTCTGGCTTCTCCCATTCCTGATCACTGTCCCCTGTGTCGCGAGGGGGGATCAAACTCTCAACCGTCTCCATGCTGGAGGCCAGGACGTCATCGACATTAGCAACGGGGGTGAGTGCCATGGTCGACAGTCGCAAGGGAGAAAGCGGGAGCGAATGTTTCAAATTATGAAGGACCCACGGTCCACGATCTTGGGCCAAAATGGCAGAGCCATTTTGGCAGACGTCTCCTGACATAAGTCTTGCAAGTCGGCAAGCTTTGTTGCAAGTAACTACTGGCTTCATGTCGAAAGGGCACCACCGATCGCCGGCGGGTAGAGCTATGCGGGCCTCCAGCACTGGACGAAGGAATTGAAATCGTCACGCGCACCTCCGCTCCGAAACTGTTGAGCATGCGCAGCACGAAACCTTCGCAATCGGCCGCATCAGCTTGACCTCGACCTTTGGCACAACCCACGATCTGATGCTTACAACATGTTATGACATGGTATACCGGTAAAGCTGAGGTCTGCACCGTGACAGGCTTGAGTGGGCTGCATTGGAGCGGGACTTTCAAAGGAATGCGTCCTCGCTAGCAGGAAAGACTTGGAAGGAGCGCAAGCAGGGACGGCTGCGCCCACCTGGCTGCAGCTGCTTCACGTCGGCCTACCGGGACATGTTTCCACATCTCAAGGATGCCTGATTCCAGCTTTGTCAGCTCATGTCTGTTGCATTCGCCTGGCGTTGGGGTCCTGCGTCCGTGCGCACGAAAAGCAAGCTGTCAATGAGCTTGTCATCGACCTTATAGTAAATTTTGCCGTCGGGTTGTGAGTGAGCCCTTCGTTTGCAAACGCTTAGGCAGTGGCGCGGCTAACCCATCCTATGATTCCCGGGCTGTCCACCGTGCGCGTGCCAGACATTGCCCGCCCATTGCGGCTACATACGTCTGCGTTGACGAGGGGCATAGTTGCACCACTGGTTTTACCATGCAGCTGGCGACATGTTTGACTGCGGAGCATGTCTTTTTCTGCAAGACCGCGGTCACGTGCTCGATGGTACTGCGAGCTGCCTCAGACTTTGGTGGCAGAGAAATGTGATGCATAGAGTTCCTGAAGCCGTGCAGTCATAGCTTCCGTCGACTGGTCAACGGCGCTTTGGTGCGCTTCTTCAATCGACGCGGCCAGCGCTTTCGAGGTGGAGGCTGCTTTGGAAAGAGACAAGGCGACAGGCCTTTGCCGACCGTTCACTTTCACAAGGACTTCTCCGTCCATGGCCGTTCCCTCGAATTCTGAGCTGTCCAGGTCACTGTAAAGGGACTCCACCCGGCTGGTCAAAGATTCCCACTCTTTCAAAGCGGTAATCATGTCACCCCATTTCTCGGCATCCGCTGGTTTGAAGTTGGACAAAACCTCCTCCCCCGAGTCACCGAGCTTCAGGCGAATCGTGCCCGCAGGGGGGAGCTCCGCAACTAACCAGCCGTCCTGTTCTACAAGCTCACCCTGAAGGTTGTTCTCCTGAAAGTAGAGCTTGCCCTCGGACTCTTGGATTTCATACCAACCACCAATGTAGCGCCACACTGCCACAAGGGGATTTGGTGCAGCGCTCTCATCTGCACCCTCTGCACGTCTAGCTGTGTGCGCTGTGTGGTAGGCCTGGGCCCCAGCAGCTGACACTGAGACTGCCCTTCTCTTGAAAGCTGGTTGGACGAAGCTTTCGGAAAGCTGCCAAACTACGATGAGGGCACACTGGCTGACGACTGCAAACCTCCACAAACCTCTGCCGTGTCTTGCCATTGCAAGCAGGATAAGGAATCGACGAGAAGCCTAATGGGGGAGGATCTGTCAGCTTGGTTGAAACTGCTGAATGTCGCATTGCATCTCTGTTGGCAGCTGCAGCAGGCACAAGAAGGGACAGGCGTGAAGGTGGAGGGGCAAGACTTCATTTTCCGACGCGTTCACTGCTTTCGATGCAGGTGATGCATTCCCCCATGCTCTGCATCATGGCAGTGCTCCGTCAAAAGAACCTGGAAGTTCAGAAATGGCCAAGCTTCCTGGCGGCGGGGCCATTTTGTTGGGGCCTGGGCTGGGGTGGCAATCCCTTGGGTGTGACCGTCGGCCCCCTCATCTTCCAACCGCATGCCATGCGAGTCACTGTGGATCTTGCGACGATTGAGATCAGACAAGACTGCAGCCAGGTGTGTACTGAGTACTGCATAAGTCCAGCCTGCTAGGCCGTGCAGCGTGCCAGCTGTTGACCTAATCATTCCCATGTCCCAGCCGCATGGCACTATGTGGAGTAGTGGTGCGGTCCAACATTTCGGATTGTCGCACACCTTTATATTCCCACGTTTGCAGTACGAGTACAAATCTTCGTTGAACCCATCCCACCACGTCATGTGCCCCGTGCAGAATGACCTGTGATGGTAAGCTCGCCACAGTACGTCAAAATGCTGGGCTGCTGCTTGCTTGCGCCGCTCCTTCCATACAGTGTCCATTTGTCAAGACACAAAAACCATAAAGCATGGGTTAGCTGATGTGTCACAGTTTTGCCACAACTTGGCTGCTGGCAAGCGCATCAACGACGCCTCCTGAAGCGACAGCTCAACTGAGGGGCAGCGAGGTGCGGAAGCCCAAACTGGGGCAATTGGGTACTGGACTTTGGCTGCCGCAAGGGCTGCCTTCCGACTCTTCTTGGAGGACACCTACCACATCTACTACGCACACAGAGGTTTCACGACCCTCCGTACGAGCAGCCTTGGCCGATGCCGATGCCGGCATAGCTCTATTGCTGTTGAGTTGTCCTGGAGATGGGAGGGTGGCTTTCGGTCTGTGCGACGTGATGCAATAACCCGAGGTGGTGCATCGCCTCGAGACTCAACAGCCGTGAAGTGTGGAGGCCTGATGCCCTCGTCCGGACCTTGAAAGGCATCCAAACCATTGGTCGATGCCCCTTCTGAAGCATTCGCGGCGCTGGAACCTTCACGGTCCTCCTCGACAGAGCCAACTTCCTCGACCTCCTGAAGCAGGCGAAGTCTACCATCTTCTCCAAGACTTGCTCGCCGTGCAAGTCAGGTGCTGCTGTAGTGACTGCTATTGTGCCACCGGGCTTGGCCAAGCCTTACCGGATGAAGTGTCTTTGACAGCTTCACACCTGAGGAACCACCCAGAAACAGATGGGTCTCCTCTTCGTGCTCTGCTGCCCTGCCTCGGCATCTCACCTGCTTCTTTGCAGGATGGCCAGTCGGGCGGCTTGGATCGGACAGGCTCCGATTTGGAGGGAGTCGGGCTCGACTGACTCGGCTCCACGTCTTCTGCCGAGCTTCGCTTTCCAGGCCTTGCTTCGCAGCAGTGCATATCTTGCACGCACACGCGCACGCACACACCCACCCACCCACACCCACACCCACACCCACCGGTTTGCAAAGCGGTCCACCTCTGTGGAGACCGCAGGTCCTGAACCTCGCATGTTGTCACACCTTGCAGCAGCAGTTGCACTGCTACCAACAGTCTGTGGAATCCTCTGCCATTTCAATCGGGTCACTCGTGGACTTGGGAGAGTCCGCGTCGCTGGAGGTGTCAACCCTGTCCACCTTAGCACTATTCCCTAAAATGTTTCAGGATACGTCGTACACGTTATGTAGGCTGCTAAGCTGGTGACGCTGGAGGAAGACTTGCGCTTGAATGAAGAGGTCTGGATCCTGACTAACATGAGCACAAGACAGAGTGTAGCAAGAGCTACTCACAGGGAGCTTCCAGCGCCAGTCCTCCTGTCTGCTGCAACAAACGGCATTCTGAGCGATCCATCTTGCTGTACTATTGCATAAGTCCTCGGTCTCGCCGTCTTCGCATAATCTTTGCGAGCGCTTGGTACACTTAGGGTCGCACGCGTCGGAGCAGGCCCGTCGCATCTCGTCAAGCCTGCCGCGACTTAATATCGATGACATTGGCACAACATGACACAAGCAACTCTTTGGAAAGCCTCCGAGGTTAATGGACGTGGAGTCTGAGCTCTGGGCACTTGCTTGAACTCCGGAGCCTCCACCAGGTCCTTCCCCCTGGCCGGAACCTGACCTAAGCTCTCCGCAACATGGAGCCAAGAGGCGCCGACCGGCTGCGACCGATATGCTCGACCGAGGCACACCACGGGCAAAGCCACCTCCGAGTCAGTTTGCACCTCAAACTACATGACTCCCGATTCCCAACTTTTCTGATGTGCATGTCGCACCATTTGTCCCGCTCCATCATCTCATTGAAGTCCAGATAAGAGCGTCGATCAAATGCCTCGTCGTGTCGGGGAGGACTTTTGGCACCCACCCGCCCACCCGCATGCGGTGAGAATGGCACACCGTAGACGTAGACTTGTCTGCTGACATCTGCTGACGATACTGGCCTCAAGATGATCACAGTTCGGTCCTCTGACAGGACACCTGAGGTATCGGAGATTGGCACAGGCTTTTGAAAGGCTTGAGTGCTGCTGGGTACTGTTGGCACCGTCCCGAGTCCACGGCTCCATGAGCTGCAACCTGCAGTGAGTTGACATGGCAAAAAGAGGGTTTGCGCAGATCGTGTCCAAATCAGCTTCCGGCGAGACCGGATCCTTCAGACTGACGCGGCGCTCCACCACTGTCATGTCGCCATCCTGCACATTCAAAAATGTACATGACACCCCCACAAGTTCCGGAACTGCTTCCATTCGATCCCCATCCGCTCTCGCGGCAACAGCCGTCGGCCTTTCGGTATTGAAACTTCACACGGTGGGAGTGATGAGGATGATGATTCGGATTGTCGCCTTGCCACATATCCGGAGCTCCGGGTAACGGAGCTCCCTCTGCGACTTCGTGATGTAAGCAAAGAGAATAGGGCCGAGATGAGCCGAGTACTCATTGACAGTTGCTGCCGGCTCGCGGCTCTCATACAAAACAGAAGCAGAGTTTCAGCGAAGGAACGAAGCATGCCTTCGCCGAGACGGCACTTTGCGAACGATCGAGAAAGGAGAACAGCTCCAGCAGGGGCTTGCAAGCCATGGCATATTCAGCCGAGCGAAGCAGTTCCAGCCGGACGACTCTTCGATACCGAACGATGCAACGACCATCCTGCAACAAATCTCACAGCTGCAATCCGAAAAGTTCACCGATACTTACCCTTACTGATAGTAAACACGCTTTTGTCCACCGAATCAAAGCCAGGACCAAGCTGTCAGTTCGCCGCCCAACAGTCCAGCAAACTGCGAAGACGCAGGGAAACACGCCTCAGCTTTAAACAGATCGAGGCCTCGGACTCGCCCAGCAAGAGATGGCGGCACACGGAGGGCGGTGGCTCCAGGGCCTCCATCAATTCCTCGCAGCTGATTTTTGGGCAGGCCTGGGCTACTGTAGCACCAATTACCAAGCGAGAGACAAGCAACCTCAGTGACCTCCCTTCTTGATCTCAACAATGTACCCTTCTTCTTCTGGACAGGCTGGCCTTCTCACTCGAGTACATTCGTCGCAGTCGTTTCCTTGCCGTTGGGCGGTGCGTGGCCACAGCGCCATTTCTGAAGAACCTGATCTGCAATTCTGTGCGAGCTGAGAAGCTTAGCAAGCTTTCCACTAGGCAATCCAAACGACTGCAGGCAAGACAGGGCCTGTTTCTGCGTGCAGTCTGTGAAGCTGCAAAACAAGCCAGCTTTGGCCAGCTGCTGAATAATCAAACTTGTGAAAGGCCCCTGCGGATTCTTGCACAACCTCACCGATTTCGCAAACTTTGGCACAAGACCGCAACGCCCTCAGCCCAGTCTCGCAAAAGCCTCGCGGTCATCACCAGCTTGCCCTTGATGTAGCAACTCTGGATCAGTCCATCAAAAGCACTCGGTGCTTCAGGAAAACCCACATCTGCCAACATGCGCTGCAGAAGTAGCACGCCAACTTCCCATTGATCCTGCTTCACGCAGGTAAGGACTGCCGTACTGTACGTGATTGCAGACGGTTGAAACGTCTGAACGGCTTCTGCAAACAATTTAACGGCCAAATGCCACCGCTGACCCCGACATGCGCCGATGACGCAACGATAGCTCATCTCATTGGCAGCAATCTTGCGGCTAAGCATCTCGCACAACAGTGCAAGGGCAAGGTTCCACTTTAGCGATGTTTCGCAGCTATGAATGGCGGAGTTGTATAGAATCGTGTCCGGAATCATAGCAGACTGTAATCCGTGCCTGAGCAAGCCAAGCGCGGCTTCCCACTTCTCACACCGATCGCAAGCAACAATCACGGCGCTCAACCCTATAGTATCTTGTTGTACTCGATGCCTGGGCAGTTCATGCCACAGTGTCAACGCCGCTCGCCACTGACTGCCTGCAGCACACGCACTCATACCAGCGTTGAAACTTACAGAGTCTGGAGCATGTGATGAGCCCATTAAACTCCCGAGGACTGACAGAGCCATCTCCCAATTCCCAGTTTTCTCGCATGCACTGATGGCAGCACTGTAGCTGATGTGATCAGTTGGGATGCTCTTGTCAATCATGCTCTGGAGCAAAGCAACAGCTGGTCGCCAGTGGCTGGCCTTCTCGCACGAAGTGATCGCCGCGCTCATCGAGATAGTATTTGCTTGAACCGCAGCTCGCTCCGAGTCAAAAAGAAACTGCAGGGCTAAGGCCCACTGGCCAGCTCGAGCGCATGCAGTGACGCTAGCTCCCAGCGTGACTTCATTCGGGCACATGGACTCCCTCATCTCTGCACATAAGAGAAGAGCACGAGTCCACTGACTGCCTCTTTCGCATGCTGTGATTGCTGAACTGTAGCTGTATTCATTGGGCTGTATGCTGGCGGCCTCCTGCATGCTTGACAGGAAATGAATGGAGACCTCCCAGCTGTCACTCTTCGAACCGGCTGCAATGACTGCAGTGTAATGGTACACATTGGTTTCCAGTGTGCTCAAGCGCATGCATTCGAGAACACGCTCCACTAGCTCGAAACGTTTCATCCTGCCGAGCTCGCTGAGAGTCTTCGTCGCAAACTGTGGGTTGGCTTCCCACTGTGCCATCTGAGGCTTCAATGCTTCTAAGAAATCGCTGTGGTCGATCGAAGACTTGGCGCATGCCAGAAGAGCTCGCAGGTCAGGTGCCATTCCTGCTGACCGTTGCATGTCTGGCGGTTTTCACGTCCTCCCGCAATTAGTCTGCCACAGCCAGGCCACAGCTATGGAAACAAAACAGTGTCTGCAGCTTGAGGCTAAAACTGCAGATGCTGATTGGTGCTAGGTTGCGGCTAACAGGCACAATACGCCCGTTTGCACGCATCTTCTTCCCCTCATGCATAAAACAAGAATTCCCACCGACTCTTGCACGTCATACTCGATGGGCCAAGTGGCCAAAACTTCTTATTCCGAAAACTCCGGCCTACAAACGTGATGAAAAGGTGAGGTGTTTGCCCCTGATCATTGCTGGCCTTACGAAATAATTGGAATAATTAATCCGCAGTGCAAGACGTACTTGATTCACTGAGGCGCGAACCTTTGAAGTGCCATGCCCTCCCCGAACGCACCTCGTAGGACTGCACGACAGTGTCCGATGCTTGGCCACGCCCGGTTCTGCAACGTTTCAGTCCTGATCTGGACGCTGTGGCTAAGTTTACATCCAAGGCAGGGGCGGCAGCAGCAAACGGCTTCAAGTCATTCAAGTCATACTCCCGGAATGATGCGACACACTATTAGATGTAACGTACGTGTGCAGGTGGTCAAGCTCTCATGAGTGCATGCCTCGGCGTGTCGATAATCTTCCGATACATCTGTCGAAGGTTGTGCGCCGCATCTTGACATGCTGATTCATGTTTCAATGCCGCTACTGAATGAACAGCTTGGCCGGTGCAGAAGAAGCGCAGGGAACAGCAAGCAGTCGTCCTGCTCACGACTAGGGGTCTTCTGTGCGCGACAAACTTACCTTGCAACATTGGTGTAGCTTGGACTTGTGCACCACTCGGTTTTCTTGCAGCGAGGGACCTTTTGGTCGTGCCCCAATCACGAGAGCTAAAGCTTTTTGTACATAGCTGGGACCTGGCAGGATCATCGGCGATCCGCCAGTCTGCCAGCTAACTCTTCCCTCCCCGAGCACGGTCGAGTCGGAGAGCTTTTTCATGATCACGAGGCCCTACTTCAACTGCAAGCTGGTGAGCTACACTGGTTTCCCTCAGAGCGTTTTCATGAACGAGTGCACCTCAGGAATCTCCACAGAGCATGGCATCAACTCATTCAGATGACCGTGCTGTGCGCGCTACGCTGTGCTAAGTACTGAGCCCACTTGGCGTCTTCAAACAAATCTTCCCTCTTCTCAATCCTGAGCATGCAGGGCTTCTCAGCGACTCAAGCTTCGGTCAGGTCAGACTGGTTCAATGAGGAGGTGCAACCAGTGGTGAAGATGAATGTTCAGAGCAATAGTCCGTCCCGTCGGTGAAACAAGAACAGAGGCTTGAACAGCCATACCGTGAGTGGAATAAGAGTAGGAGAAGAATGAGAAGAAAAGCGGAAGCAAACTGGAGGGACATCAGCTACTTTCGAGGAGAACAAGAGGCGCAGCTGATGCTCATGACGCTGGACCCGGGGATATGTGCATCATGGGCATCAGGTGAATTCGGCCAGGCGTGGTCGAACAGTTGCGCGAAACGACTGCGACGAGACGTGACTGGTCGGCCGTCCAAGGGGTGCATCTGATGCTCACGATGCTGGCCCCGGGGCATCGGAAATTGACAGAAACTGCAGCGAAACGCCGTAAATACCACTGACAACGCACTTGAACAATGCAAGCTACACTTGGAGCCGAAAGCTGTCCCAGCAGCGCTGGACACTCGCGTTAATGCTGGAAGGGGGCCCCGAGCTTCTGCAAATCCCATGCCCCGGTCTCCCACCCACCCCCGCTCCCGCTTTCGGCTTCGCCCGGCATCTCCAAGACGCCACAAAACCGCTTTCCGTCATCGCACTATCTGGCTACCATGGCGCAGCTTCATCGCATTGACACATTTCCATTCACAGACTTTGGCCCGGCTCATGGGAGTGCGAGCTGCATGTGTAAAGATGGCCAAAGTTGTGAATGCGTGTCGTGACGCCTGTCAGCGTTTCTCGGCTGCTGAGCGTCGGTTCCTTTTGCCTCCTGCATTATCTGCATTGCTGAGCGAATCGGTTTCTGGGTTGTTGAACCATGCAATACAACGACACACAATGAACATTCTAAATATGCAATTGGCACAGTCCCGCATGCAACGCATCAAGATGGGATACACTTGAACGTCTCTGATTGCCGCAACACCGTTTACCGAAGCAAACAACAAGCGCAGCTGGCTGAGAGCGTTGCGTGGTAACTCGAGTCATTATCTGCGTGGAACATGCGTGTCAGCAATGTTTCAGGGTTGCATCAAGCGGAAAGTCGGAAAGGTACATGCGATGCGTGCATGCGACGTCCGCGCAGCACCACAGATTTGCCTTGTTCAGCTCAGTCAGCTGTAGCCGATTCTGTGACAACCTGAGCTTTTTCAAGGTACCCTCCTGGATTATACTATTATACTTGGGTTCGCCCACAATGTCACAAGATGCTACAGTACAGGTGCAGCGCAAGCACGGTGTAAGAGCAGGGCTCTTTCAGAAGCTCTGCTCCCCTCTGTATCAGAGCAAGCATCACCTCGAACGTTTCTTTGCACCTCATGGACGGCTACAAACATATCAAACACCGACAACGATTGATGCCAGTGGGATAACACTGCTTCACACTGGCTCTGGACTCAGGTTGGCACAGAGAGTCCGGGGCTTCGGAGAAGTGCTCCAAGGCCTGAACAAAATCATGCCACGGCATTGGCTGCCAGCGATGCTAAGAAACAGATCACGTCTGCAGAAAGGAATCAGCCGGGTACAGTCGGTGGTGAAGCCACAGCTAGACATGCAGTGTAATTGGTTTGTTCAAAGTTTGTTCTTCAAGCACGTGGCACTGATCTTGCAACAAGCAACTTTTCAGGCATTCCGCCCGCCCCCTAGATGCACTGCTGGTTCGATCTTGCTCATTAAGAAGACGCTAGCAACTTACTAATAACCAAGCGGCATGCCCTCCGGATGCTATGAGCATGGCCGCCATTGCAAAACTCGGAAGCAAGGGCTGTCAGCCACAAGTACCTGTAACTTCAGGAGGCAAGTAGAACCTCACTCTGACCAAGAACACCGCTGGGGTAGCCGAAGCCAAAACACAACCAAAACCCTCTTTGCAGCGGTGCTTGGGCAATGCGGGCAAGCCTGCCTCCCACTGCTTGATGAGCGGGTCCATGTCCCTAGCACAGAAGTTTCCGTCAAGTCGCGAGTAGTCCTGGTGCCAGGGCTGTGTGTACATCAAGGCTGACCGACAGCTTGACATGTCAGATGCCGCCTTCTTGATGGACTCCCTTGCTACGAAGGTGTGCTCAATGAGCAACAGTGCCTTGCTTATGAAGACATGACATGCCACGAGGAAATATGGTTTATGGCCGGCACCTTTTCAATGATGCCTTCCGGCGTGACCTTCATGATTCGAAGACGCGCGCTCCGAAAGTTGCCGTGAGTTCATGCCGTGCTTGTAGCTGGCTGCCTTCTCCTTCTTGGCCTTCTTCTTCTTGGGCTTCTTCATGTCGTGCAGCCCGTCATCGCTGTCAACATCCTGTCCTGACGCAGCCCCAGCATTGCAAACATCTGCGAAAATATCCACTGCAGCGAAAACTGTCATAGTTGCACGAACCTGCTTCTTCTGCCTTCTCTCGCCTCTCCTCCTGCTCCTGGAAACAATCTCAAGGTAGGCGGACTAGGTGCCAGGAAGTCTCAAAAATCAAGGGTTCGGACCTCCACCTTCTTCACCAAAGCTTGGAGGTCAAACTGCCCTTCCATCTCTTCCTGCTCATCCACCTGGTACGGTCACTGCGTACTCGGCAGTATTCTTGTGGCAGAAAAGAACGCGACGGACCTCGTAATGCTTTCGCTCGTGGTCAATCTCCACGTCGTCCAAGTCTGGATCTAGCTTCTCTTTGACCTGCGGAACATGATGGCTCCCTGATGGCAACTGAGTTCTGGCAGCCCAGTGCAGCTGCCTGCCCGAACTTCGCACGTTGATTCGTGACGGTCGGGTGCTTCCATGTCACTTTCTGAGTGGTCTGGTTGACGTAGTAGTGGCGACCTTGCAGCGCTCCGAGGTCATTCATGTTTCTGTTCACTCACACCATCAACTAGCAGGTGAAACCAATTGCCTAAGTGATCATCCCAATGCTCCTGTGAAGCTCCATGCGGTCAGGTGCAGTGTACAGCCCAAGGCAGAGAAGGCAAACCGCTCCTGCCAGCCCTCTGGAACTTCCAGTCGAAGGTTTGGCGGCTTGACCTGGTGCCAAGCAAGCAGATGCCCTCGTACTCGCAGTGTTGTTTCACGATGTTTCGCGCAAAGCGAACTGCGGAACCTTCTTGATGTCATTGTTGAGACTCAGCCGAACCTGCCACATCAATGTGGCATGAGCACACAGCGAATTGCACATGCTTGCTTGCTCAGGGTAAGCTCATGAATCGAAAGCCTCATACCTTTCCGAATCCTTGTCCCAGCAGACGACTATCGCCTGCAGCAGTTGTCTTCATGGCTCACACGGTGCAACTTTCGCATTTCTCAGCCTTCAGCCCGTTCATCCATTTCGCAGTCTCGCTTTGCAGGCCACGAACTTCAACCTCCCAGGTGCGTTCGGATGGGCTAGCAGCGAATGCTCACGCTGAAGTTTAAGCAGCCTGGAGCTGCCTCTCTAAAGTGTCTGCTCTCTCCTACTATCTGCACCTTCGTGCCGTTGGGGATCTCACCTTCCGGCATGTCCTTCTGCGATGCCAATACGTTTCCCTATCATGCTGGCTGTAAACGGACGTCAAGGCCTTTGTTTCTTGGACTTCCTTTTCTTGCATTGCAGAATACATGAGGTTCTCTTCTTTCAGCTTGACGACCTGGCAACTCGTTCATGAAGCCAGCCCTGAATAGTTATCGTGATCAGCAGTGAGGCCCGCGCGACTGAATCATATCTTCCGCCTTCGAACTTTACTTCATATCTGTCCGCCTGTGTAACATAATTTGGTGCTTCTGCTGAGTTCGATCTTGGGTGGAGCGAATGCCTCTGGGTGGTACTGCAACACGCGAACAATCTTGCCTGAAGGCAGCACGGCTTTAAATCGCAGCTCTGCATGGCCAGTTTACGAGGCCGGGCCATTGTAATCTGTTTTGCTCTTGACTCCCACGACTTCCATCAACCTGCAAGACTGGAGTCGCTTTCAGTGAAAAGGCTGGACATGGGTGGACTCGCTGGGTGCCGGAACTCTCCGATCTTGAACTTCGCGTCGCGCTCGGTCTTCTTCGGGATCTCAGTGCCTCGCACGGGCTCTCGTGCAGCTGAGTGCCGAGAGCTCCCAGTTCATGGTGTTTCTGCGAAGGCACTGCAACCCAGCAGAGTTTCGAGTCTATCAAGCCCTGCCAGTGAGTCTCGAAACTTTGAGCGACCAGATCTGAACCGAGCTGAGCCAAATGCTGCCTACGACATCATGTGCACCAGAACTCGTATCGACGGTTGGAAGCTCAACATCATCTGTTACGATCTTTTGTGTTCTGATTCTAGTTTGACCTATGCCGTGCCTTCAAATCAGAGATTTTCTGCCTGGTCTCCGCAGTCTGGACACAGGTCGACTTCACAAGTGGAGCAGTGAAAAAAGTACGAACCAGAAACTACCAAATCGACTTCTCCGCATGAATCACAGGTTGGTGCCTCGCCAGCATCTTCGTACGGTCCACCATGGATATCGCTAATCCAAATTGACAGTCCTTCTCCGCACCCGGTGCAGAAAGGCGTGTGACAAGTTCTCTCCTCTGGAAGCCAGCAAGCAGGGCAGCAGCAGTAAAAGAACCAGCCGGCTGCTAGCGTCTTTCGTCGGGTTGTCCGGCTCTCGGCTTCCTGCAAAGCTGTGGCAGCGTAGCTGATGGTGAGGTCATCTCCAGGCTTCAAATCCCGACAGGCTGTCAAGGTGATGGTGAAAGTATGCCCGTCTGCCGAATCGATTCTGTATTCTGCAGCAGGGTCACAGCTGTGATTGCACAAAGCGGGTATGAAAAATATTCCTAGTTTGTCCTCTCCAACTTCGAAAGCATTGCAGCGCCAAATCTTAGCTAACTCGCCAAAGTTGTGGAGGAACGGCTCCGAAATGCCAAAAGCACGTGCAATCGCAACGGCAGTGGCATCTGCGAAGTGGCTGCCTGCAGATGACACTATCTCTGCCATCCCTGGAGCTCGAGGAGCTACTGTTTCCGGTCGGCTCAATGCAAAAAGCCTTTCTTGAATGTCCGGGACTGTTGAAGAAATGTTCATCGCCACCGTGCTTTGAATATGCGCTGCCGGCACGCAAGCCAGAGCGGCACAGTAGCTCGGCAGTGGCAGCAGCGCAGGGTGAGGAAGTGTTGCCTGCAAGTGTTCAACTGCCTTGCAAACTGGGCTTGGCGTGTAAACCATGAGCGAATCACAACGACATATCTCTGACCCGGCCTCAATAGGCTCCTTCATAACCAACCCCAAGCCATGTGCCAGTTGAGAGACGCGAAGTCTGTGAGCCAGTCTCTCCTCTTTCAACACTTCATTGAAGAGCGACCATCGCGACTCAATAGTCATTCGGTCGAGTGACCTTCATGCCTGAATGTGTTTGAGCCCGTTTAGAGCCTACGTACACGCATGCGTACATGTGTATATATATATATATATATATATATATATATATATATACATACATACATACATTCGCACGTACATGTGCGTTATGTATATATCATAGACATGCATACTAATTTCAACATATATGTATATGTATGTAAATATGTACACACTTACTTACTTGCCTGAGTTCTCTCCCTCTCTCTCTCTATATATATATATATATATATATGCACCCCTTCATGTATCGTACTGTTTGTTGTAGTTTCGGATTTTGCCCACAACAGTGGGGCCCCTTTCGTGTGCCCACAAAGAGCATCTAAAAGCTGCTTAGCCCAGCCTTGGTAGCCAGTGAACACGTTTGCTTTCGCATTCGCCTGTCACTTCGACGCTGCGAGTGGCGACTCGCTAAATGCTTGTTGCCTGCCTGCTTGATCTCGCGGTCCTCTTTGACCTTCAGCGCGTGCATGGCCAACGGCCTCGGATCCACCTCTGCCAAGGCAGGCTGGGCCGTTTGCCCTCGTAACTGTTCATCCAATCATTACAACCCATGCAGAGAGGAAGCTTTCGTTTTTCATGTGGCCGCCTCTCTTTCACAGCAGTGGCGGGAAAACTTGTAGTAGTCGAAGCCTCGCAGCCGCTACACCGCTTCACATTGGCCGGGAACTGTCCCTACTTGACATCCGTTAAATGCTGCCAGAACGATCACCAGCAGCATCAATCACCTGTTTTACCGGAGCCACAGCCCTGTGCCCGTGACCTTCTCCGCCCTCTTGCAAGAAACTCCATCCAGGCTTGCCTTTATTCTTCTCCTGCAGAAACAGAGGGTGCAACAATGCATCGGCAAAGATGCAAGCAATTTGGCCGTACTGCCTGAATAAGGTGCTCAAACACAGCTGGATCGTTTGACCTCACATGCCAGCCACCAACTGCATGTAATGTTGATGATATCTTGGTGAACCTGGCGAACCAACGGAATCACAGACCCCCCCGATGGCTATTTATGATTATTCTAAATTCCAAACGCCCCCTCTCCAGTGTAGCCTTGCCCAACAAAGCGGACACAAAGCTGGCAAAACCGATCTGTGTTGAGGTTCGGAATGGGCTTCAGGCATGCCATTGCTGGTAAAACCCGATCCATGAGCTGATGGTCACCGGTATAAGTACTCTTAGTCAGTCGGTGCGTGCAGAGGTGGCAAGGTGGATGGTCCGCAGATAAATACCCAAAACAAAAGTGCAACTTACAAACTTGCGACTACCAAGCAGACTGCAACATGCATTAAGCAAAGCAACATGCTGCAATTCCCAACGGCCGTACTGGCCACGTCTACCAGCCACTTTCTGCACTCTGCAATGAGAAATGGGACTGAATCCATTCTGGCCGAGGATGGACCTGTGAACGTGTCTTGCAGTTTTTTCGATGGTCTCGACCATGGCTCCGTCCTTGCACGATTTTTTTCTGAGCTTTGACACCATGAGTTTGACACCATGAATGCTTGACCGGCCTTGGGCAAGGGTGGGGCTTGCTCGTCCACTGTACCAATCCTGCTAGACAGCAGTCTGCATGGCCAGGACATGTGCGCAGCAAGCACGCCATGCGTCACCATGACAAGGCTGCGACTTCTTCTTGCGTCTTTGCGCTTCCCTGGCCTCTTCTTGCCCTAACCTGCCCAATCAAGCACGGGTCTTGACATGACCTGGCTGCTGCAAGCTTCAACGCGAATATGTCGGCGGGGCATCCCAGCCATTAGATTGTAGGAATGCCTCGGTCGTAATCAAGAAGCGAGCACAAGGTCCAACAGTTTGCAATTGCACCCCGGGTTTTGCAAAGGCTCCAGCTTGTAATTCCAGTCTTCGCGACGCTTGAAATCGTAACTCCCATCCCATCGGTACATCGTTGATTGATCGGCCTCGTGGCAGACTGTATGGAAACAGGACGCATGCCACATGCAGAAGGACTGGCAGCATCTCGGCTGTGGGCCATGGTGTATTGAACCGCCAATGCGGTGAGGCGACAACGCAACGGAATGGATATTTCCCTCTCGACCTATTCGTTCTTTGCTCTTGTGGTTTGTGATGCGCACAACGAAAGACACTCGCAGGCAACAACTTTCATGGCCATGTACAAGTATTTCGTCAGTCTTCAGCGTAAAGATTTGTTCCCGGCACTGGCTTGGTCTTGCGAGGTGGTTTCGCTGTGCATGATCAAAACGGTTACCGACATTGAACTGCCATCGAAAATGCCACGATCTTGTGAACCCTCCTCTAATTCTTGGGCGCGCGCGTCGAACATGACAAGTGCATGCGTATCACCCAAACATATACCTAGACCTGATTCCATCGTATCATGACCGCGCCACGCGGCCGCTGGATCTGCTGCTCGGCCCAGTAAAAACTAGCACAGAAGATCACAAAAGCCTAACATGCAGCATATGCAAAACAACATAAAACAACCATAATTATGCCACACTTCGACAAATAATTACACCTGAACTATCGTGAAAATTGCGAACCAAGGCAACAGAACTGCGGCAAGCGGGCGCATCATCTGCTGGACCGCAAGTACAGCATTGGCACACCGGAAAGCTCCACGGTCTTTGATTCCGGCTGTTTCCGCGCACTACGGACGGGAACATCAATGTTCATTTCATGTCCGTTCCACTGACATGGCTGTCGTGGGTTCGAACTGTGAGGGCACGGCCTGAGTGGGTCCAGCTTGCGAAAGCAGCACCGCGCGGGACGCAGGGTTGAGGTGAGAAAGGCGCAGCCGCTCGCCAGCGCCCACCTTGCACGCCGCGTGAAAAACCAGCTTCACGGCAAACGCGCGCTGCAGCACGCTCGCGCTGCGCGCCTCTGGTTCGCAAGGCCCTGGAGCGAGGGGGTGATGACCTGACGGGCCTTCGCAACGTTTGCCGCGACAGAGCCGGAGGCGCCACAACAGCAACACTCGGAAGTGTGAAGATGCCAGCAACAGTTGCTGTGAGAGGCGATCGGGGGCCGGGGGATGGAGGTCGTCGCAAACGGCATCAAACGGCCTACCGCTCCGGCGAGGGTTCAAATCTACGGGTGCACACGGCTCGGTGCCGATGTGAGGCCAGCGCTGGCACTTCAGCAACCCAAGGCGCGCAAACTCTGCACCTACCCTAATAAGCAGCCAGACGGGCAAGGACGTTGCGGTTTGAAGTTGGCGGGCCAACAATTCTTGAAAATCGCAAGGTTTGTGAGAGTGTAAATAGCCGTCAGCGCAACGCGCAACGCCCGGCCACCGCCCGTGACCACAACCTTCATAGGTATGTCGTCGTATAGTAGACGGCTCGAACTTGTCCAGCACGGGGCTGGTCCAATGGAAATGAATTTAATGAATCCGTCAGCGACGCGCGGTGCATTGAGGTTGTGACAAACGGCCTGCCCCTCTGGCACGGGGCGCAGCTCGCGCTTGATCATGCCTTTGTGGCGTCCCTCCTGGCGTTGCCGGCTGGTGGTGACTGTTGCGATGCGGGAAACGCACGCGACGCGGCCCTCCGCTCGTCGCTATAGCCGCCTGCCGGAGCCCTGAACCGTATAGGCCGCAGCCTTCACGTGCGTGCACTGGGACCGAGGCATACCCTTCATCAAGCATCCTTAGACACCAGGTTCAAGCTGATACTTCGCCGTGGTGCGATCCGATTGCCAACGCTGCGTTCCATCCCAGGCACGAACAGTAAGCCAACCTGCCCTTCGTCCAGGACGGTGGGTCCCGAGGGTGCAGGGCCTGAAAACCAAGTTTCTGCATGTTGGAATGACACACCGCCCCGCATGTCGGAGCGCAGGACCGTCGCAGGCTCGACCTCGTCAGTGTACGGGGCCCTGCGCAGCGGAGGAGCGCAGTGCTGCGACGCGACTTTGGTGTCCCCACTCACACGCTCGGGGCACCCACAGCCATGCGCAGCGGCTGTGGACGGGGCCGTATTGCGAGTAGCCGAGCGCCGCGATGGGCCCAAGCGTTGGTGGAGCCTGCTCTCAGTTGCGGTGCAGCAGGCAGTCGCCAGTACGGCCTTGGGCGGCGCCTGGCGGCATCCGCTGCAGCCGGAGGCCGGCGAAGGCCCGCCGCTCGACGGAGTCCTCCAGCTTGCCGCCCTTGAGGGCCCGAGCCGCTCGCCCCTGCGGTCCTAGCGACGGTCCGCGGCTAGGTCCTAGGTGACAGAGGCACCAGAAGAATCAGAAGACTCCTTCCGGCAGGCGGAAAAAGGTGCTGAGAAAAAAAAATGCCAGACCCACGCCGCTTGATAGAAATTGGGTTTAAGCGCATGGCCCGTGGTTCGTGCCATTCTCTGTGCGGCGGGTCGCTAAAATGAATTACAGGGCAACCAAGACCGAAATCGATCTGAGTTTTGCACCCTGCAGGCGGTGCTGGGTCGAGTACGCGCAGGCGCGCTCGTCAGGGCGGGAGCAGGTGGCCAGCCATGTCGTAAAGTTTCGGCGACGGAAGCATGAAATCCAAGCTCACATTAAATTTTGCAAGTCAACAGTTCAAGATTGGGAAGGCTTTCAAATCAACCAGGCATTGCATATGCATCAACGACAAAGTTTATTACTTCGACACTGGTCGGGGCAAGGTCATCGGCTCTCGATCCCGTGCAACAATGCCACGACGAGCTCCGGGTGGAAATCGGGCTGGGCCAGCGCATAAATATATCTCCTTCCAGCTCTTCACCGACCTGTGCCTGCTTTCCATCTTGCTTGAGCTGCTGGACAACAGTGTTCGATTTCGACGCCATCGTGGAGGTGGCACTACCTCTAATACGTGACACTATCATACAGTTATATCGGTAGAAGCGGGGCCGAAATCGATGTGAGTTTTGGGCCCCGCGGTGCCTGCTCGTGGAAAATCGCTTGCCCAAAGTTGGCTTAAAGTGCATGGCTCCCGCTTCGCACTAATTTCGGTTCTGCGCGAAACAGCCGGGGCCGAAATCGATTTGAGTTTGGGGTACCGCGGTGCTTGCTCGCGAAAACTGTTGGACCAAAATAAATCTAAAGAAAGACAATTGGCTATAAGTGCATGGGTTCCGCTTCGCGCCATCCTCGGTTTAGCGGGTCGGTAAAGGGGATTACATGCCAGCCAGGACTGAAATCGATGTGAGCTTTGGGTCCCGCTGTGCCTGCTCATGAAACTCGCTCGACCAGAAACAACATCCAGAAACGCAGCGGCCCAGAAGTTTTCGTAGTTACGCCTAAACACCAAAACGTCGAAAAACGCAGAAACCCAGAAATCTTAAATTTACTTAAATCCGTAAACCGGAAAACAGGTCCGCAAAAAAACGTCCGAAACCCAGAAAACCTAAACATTTACACCCAGAAACGCCCAGAAATGCAGAAACCCGAAACACGCAAATCCAGAAACAGTCACTCAAGGCGCATCGAGGTCGTCGCCAACGGCCTCCCTCTCTGGCACGGCTCCCAGCTCGCACTCGACGCCACCATCGTCTCCCC